GGGTTGGGGATTTGTGGGGTTGGGGATTTCATTTTGGGAATGGGGCTTTGCTGTTTGGGGGTTATGGTCTTCACGATTCTTGCTAGTAGATTCTATTAGATTCTTAATTTTCGCTCGAAAAAGGAAACCGGTCCTAGACCCCACGTGACTTTAGCTAGAGTGAATCCCCAGTTAGACGCTCGATTTTATTGGAACGCATCGACTTTCCCTGTCGACAGTAGTACAGGACCAGGATCGGGGAGGCGATGCTGGGGACGATCGTATATTCATCCCACTGTTTGGTTGTACTGTACCACTCCACCCCACCTCTTACTGAAATTGCTGCTATGGAAACCAAAATTAGGCAGACTTCGTTACTACGACGACGAGGACAACGAGGACGACGAGGACGACCATAGCGGCTTCTACTCTTTTCTTCTGGACGGATTCGGTTCTGCTTATTGCTTCTACCACATGTTTCTACAAACATATCTGCTACTAGAGTTGCAGCGATCCGCATCATCTTCACCACCACCACCACCACCACCAGTGCCCCCAACCCAAGCCGAGCCGGGGTGGGCACGCAAGCTGTGTGTTGCCACAGCGCAACAAGCGACGCAATCGCTGGGATCCTGACTGTGGTACAAACAAACCACCCCCACCCACAAACATCCCCAATCCAAGAGCCCACAGCCTCGCTCATGGACGCCTCGCAGACTGCGCGTGGCCAGGGCCAGCAACAGGCAGAACGGGCTGAGTAGGACAGCCCCGGGAGTACTGCGCCACCTGCCGCAAGAATTCAACTCAGATTAGGGTTTAGAGATGCTTGGCTTGGAGTTTACAGTTCAGGGATATTCTAACCCGAAACCCTAGACCTTAAACCCCAAAGCCCTGCAACCCCGGAAACCGCAATCCAACACCCTGAAGCCCTCAAACCTGAAAACCATATTGCGCACCCCACCCCCCCCACCCCCTCAAAAAAAAGGACTAATGCTGCCTAGCGGTTTTGGCTTCGTGCTTGCAAGCAGCAAAGGCCCGGGCTCCGACCATTCGGCGCAAAGCCCACAATCATTCATTTAGTGGCCTCGATAATCAGCAAAAATTCCTGTATAGTCCGTACATACTTTCAGTTGTCAGTGTGATGACAAAGGCTTCTTGATCTGGAGGATGCTTGCCAAACTTAGAGACTCGTGAAGACTCAGGATTCCTTGAATTTGCAAGAGTCTGAAAATTCATAGCCGTTGCTTGCGGGATCTTCAGGGATTGGCTTTAGGATACATATGACTCGTCTACAGCTTGGGTCTGCAACATCTCGTTTGAGGCTTCCGAGACACTGTGGCTTTCGAAGTCTCTGCTGCTGAGCTGCAAGAGTGAGTTGAACTGCTTCAGTCTGCATGGCCAGAGCCCTGAGTCGTTTATTCTGGTTGGACTCGGCTTTGGCAATACGCTTCAGCACAGAAACTCGCCAGAGCCCTTGCCTGCGGAGCCAGGGACTGCGTGTAGCCGCGAAATTGCCCTGAAGGGAACCTGGTCAAAGGACAAAATGCTGCAAACTCCCTCTGAAACTGCCTTCGGGCTCCGAAGGGCATGCTGGACACTCACACAGGGCTGTTGAGGCTTGCCTTCGACTAGTGACTAGTCTTTTGAGCAAGACCCTCAAGTTTCAAGAGTTTAAAGGTTGAGCCGCCTAGCTGTGCTGCAGCGCGAAAGGTTTGGGTTTCGGCTCCGTGCAGCAAGGGCCTTGGCTGCGCCTGAGGGGGCGACACCGAGCGGAAGCCTTCGGCTCCGGGGCATGGCATGGCTGTAAGTCTTTGCTGGGCCAGGTGGCAATGAGATTGCGGGTTTAGAATCTTCGGCTCAGCTCCACAGCGAGGGTTGAGGCTCGATTACCCGGATCTCAGGCTTTGGAGCCCAGGGTCTGGCAGATCCTGCAGAGCACAATCCAACATCTTGAAGGAACCCAGCTCATGGGCTTGAAGGCCACCTTGGAAGGGTTGAGAGAGACCCATGAATGAGATTGCAAAACCCAAATATCGAATATCGAATAAACAGCAGAGTTGAGAGACTGGGATAACAACAGTTGCAAAGCTTTGCAATTAGCACGTTCGTCCCGGCTCTCTTCGATGATCCCCATGCACCTCATCAACACTCCTTTCATTATTCCTCTTCGTCTTCCACTGCCTCCCAAATCCTCATCCTTAAAATCATCTCCAGCATCATCATTGCCATTATTAACATCATCTCCTCGTCTTCATTGTCCGTCGTGCTCATCAAAGCTATTTTTTTATGATCAGAAAGGTGAAACAAGTATTTGGCCGTCTCTGCAGCACGATGAAACCCTTCAATTTATACACACGAGTGACACACGAGCTTCTACCAGAAGTCTCGCTCCAAGCATCAAACAGCCTTCTTCACGGGGATTTGAGAGCTCGGAGAATTAGCAAGAGCTTCGGCACAAAACACTCAACAGCACTTACCCAAACGATGAGCTGAATATGAGCAATGCCAAACAAGACTGATGGCGCCTAGAGCGATCGGTGCACCACATGATCGAAAGCGTTTGGGTTGAACCGGGTCGTAGCATTAGTGTTGGGACTACATTACCGTTTTGGGCGCCCCGGACCCTGTCCGGCACTGAGCTTCAAGCGGCTATCGGGAGACCTGGGAACAGGTTCCGCATGTTGGGATTTAAAGATTTTTGGTGGTGAGGTGCTGCCCTATTCTCCTGAGCCGTCAATAACATTCAAACTCGAAGCCTGTATACGAGCCGAAGAGAATCATCTCCAAACCCGTACAAACACGAAGGCCTCCACACACTAAAGCCCTACACTGTATGAAACCTGAACTGCAAGCGGGAAAGCTACACTCCCAAATACACGCCAAAACTCAGTAGCCAGAACAAGCACCACATCCACCGCATGTGAAACATGCTTGGGGCATGACAACCCGCCACATCTTAGCAAGCGCTGAGCTCAATGCCCCACGCGCACTGCATGCGGGTGTGGGCCATGCCTCGAGCAGCTTATGGCTTCATGTTTCGGGCTTCGAGGTCAGAGAGTGGAAGTCTACAGCAGGCGCAAGAGCACGCCGAGTTTCGGGAGGACGGAAACCCGTGCTTCTCGTTGACTCCTTCGTAGATCCCTGTTGACATGTGGCCATCTTGAAACAACAAATTGGACTTCTGACGGCATTCCCTCCTCGAACCTAACGATCGAACACAACGGAATTTCCAAGTGGCTCCCCAGGCTGAACCCGGTCTGCTATGTACCTGTTCCAATCTACCCATCCGCAATAATTCTTGGCATCTGTCTGTTTCGGGGCCTCGTCTGCTTCCGAGGCCCTCGAGGCTTTGTGAGTTTCGGGCTTCCGGACCGTGAGTCGCTTCGGGTCCGTGGGTTTCGGCGCAAGGGAATAGCGTGTGCAACACCTCGAGAATGCATCGGGTCTTGGGATATTGGTGACGTTAGCGAACAATGTCACTCGCTACACAACTAGAACCTGAAGCTTAGTCCGTTTAGAATCTGAAGGCGCTAGGGTTCCCCACGGATTGGTAGCATGGCCGCCAGTTCCTGGCCTGAGGAAGCCAGGACCGAGTTCTACGTGTCATCACGAATAAGGGTATGAGTAGGAGTAGTAGTAGCAGCAGAAGCAGTCGTCGTCGTCATAGCAGTAGCAGTA